TGTGGTCCCCAAGGGAAATGAGAAATTCAAGGGAAAACGGAAAAGATGCAAAACAAAAGTCATGACATTAACGCTAAGCAGATTCCGAAGAATAAAATACCAGGAGATGGTCTTCAATCTCAATTATCAGTGCTAACAACCTCTAACAAGCAGTTCTTCTTCAAGTTTATTCATACCCCGAGAGCCAAACCTGTCCCCGAAGCACAGACACGGCCCCGAAGGGGGCAGGGAGTGGACAAGGAGTACAAGAGCGGTGGCAGGAGCGATGCTTGCCGTGGGAGAAAGCTTCAGCTTCCCCGTGAAATAAATATTTATCATTTCCATCTTATTTGAAATGATCGCCCGGTTGAAACAAACAAAAACAAGGCAGGGAGCAGAGGACAAAATTCATACTGCAGCCACGTCTGTGGGATTCGAGAGTGTATTTTTCCAGCACCCGAGGCAGCACTGAGGCCAGCAGGGAGGTCGGAGGCGTTACCTGGACCAGCGCTGGGGACAAACCAAGTGTCCTAAGGGCCAGGCTAGAGCGAGACCAGAGCTGCAAAGTGAAGCACGTACCTAGAGCAAAGACCCGGAGCTGTCTGACCCCCCGCGAGTAAAAAGAAACCTATTTCAAACACGTTCCCTGCCTGTGGTGCTTACTAGGGGGAAAAACGAGCAGCAAATAAAAACAACGGCCAGAATGAGCTCTAATTGCAAAAGTGGTTTCAAATTCAGGAACTGCAGCCAGAAGCCAAGCTTCACTCCCAGGAAAAAAAAAAAAAGAAAAAAAGGAAAAAAAGAAAAAAGATTTAAAGGCCTTGGGAAAAATAAGTGGATGGAAAGCTAGACACATGAGTCAAAGAGACAGAAAAACAGACGCCACCATCTTCTCCTTCATGCCTGCCCAACGTTTAGCAAGGAAGACACGTTCCATTAAAATTTCAAGCAATCGAAAACCTCTCCCCCCTTTCCCCAGCCCTCCCCGTAAATTACTCATAAAATTAAAGAGCCATGTAAGAACGGCGTAAAGTTACCCCGGGGTGCATTTTACGGAGCCATTACGGAAGGATACACACAAATGAGGGGGATATTAATGACTCCGCACAACACATTTTTCAGCGCTGCTTCCCCCTTTCATCCAACGAGGAGAAAAATTCCCTGCCGAAGCAATCCACCGGAGATGCTGGCTTTTTTTTTTTGTTGCCTGCCCTGACCCTTTCACACGCTGATAAACATCTCCCGTGTCTCGTGGCGGTGATGCTGTCCAAACCTCAAGGGGCCATTCGTTGTCGGCCATTCGTTATTCGGGGCTCTGTTGTGTTCACCTGAAATTTGGCAGGGTGAGGACGCCGCCTCGGACAGAGACGAGTTTTTCCTTTCCAGTAATAAATGTGGTGTTGTTGGGAGCTGATGGATGGGGAGCAGGAGCCTCTTGTCCTCCGTTCATCACCGTGACAGCCAGTGTGGGCTGGAGGCTCCCGACGGAGCCCAAGGGCTCCCTCGTTAAACGGGACTAGCCGCAGGGCTTATAAAAATTATTCATTTTTTATTTCATCAGTACACAAAGGTCTGAACAAACCAACTGCTGTTGACTAGCATGAAATGATTTAGCATCATTTAGAGCGACAATATTATCGGCACCGTGGCAAATTGATGCCCAAAACCAGTTGACATGGCTCTAGCACCCTCTGAAACACTCAACACCCAACAGCAGCAGGGTCCGGCCCTATTTGGGGACCCCGAGAGGTATCAAAAACGGATGGGTCTGATGCAAGACATCAGAAAATTCAATTACTCCAGCACATGCAAACTTAATTTGTGTGGGTCAACATATATGGAACCGATTGTGCCTGATAAAATCGTCATCCGCGTGCACTTTAGAGACAACGCTGCCTTCCCTTGCTTTTCATGTCAAATCTCATTGCGTTCATGTTAATGATCTTTTAATTTGCTATGCGGTTTTGACATTTCTCTGACAAACGCACGTTACAAGAGACTGCGACTGGAATTTTGTTGGTGTCCTTTCAACGTTTCCTGTGCAACTAATGCCTTCGAAGGATATTTGGGTATTGTTCTCCGCTGCGAAACTTGGAGTGAGAAGAAGAAAACCAACTTGAGTAGCTTCTGGTGCAATTGCTTTAATGTGGTATCGATGGCAGGTTTTGTCTTTTGAGACAAAAAACTTAGGTGCAGCCAGCCAGGGATTAAATAATACATTTATCTTCCCCATCATAATCACAAAAAATGACAAGCTCTTCTGCCAAAGGGACTGATTTCTGAGGTTGCGTGCACCAACCCCCAATGGGAATTAAAAGTCATTAGTGTCAGCTTCTCTGGAAATCTGGATGCCGAGTGAAGTAACTCGGAAAGACATTGATGAACTCTAAGAGCTTCCGAACTCTACCCTCGGTGTTTGCCTCCCCTTAGTAATATTCAAGTCCATCCACGAATCCGTCTGAGCCCAACACGTGGATGCCCACCTGCTCCAAGTCAGCTAAAAGTTTAAATATCGGTTTAAACAAAGTACTGGTTGGCCATGTAAAGACACAGATATCCAGTCTAAACATTAATTTTCATCACTGAGTGACCGATGGTGATACCCTCTCCCGTTGTGAACCTAAAACCTGCCATTCCCCAGAGCCTGCAGTTATCACTCCCAAATAACCCTAGGACAACTGCTGATCGTAGTCCCTCTTCCTCTTGGCTTCAAGATGGGCAGGTGAATCCCAAGTGGAGGTCTACAAATGCATCGAGCCCGGTTTCTGGCCACAAAACCACGTTGGTTTGGGACCAGAAACCTTCACCCAAATGGAGAGGGAGAGCCCAGGAGCATTTAATGCTGCCCCACGCAGATAAATGGCCTCCTAACTGAGGGTTTCCGTGAAAAAAGGGGAGGAAAAGGTTTAATCTTTGGCCAAGTGGCTGCTCTACGCAGAGGACAAGAAGGTGGGGGCTCACCTCCAGGGGCAACCACGGGGGGCTGAGATCTGCTCCCACAGGAGGTGGCAGACATACAGGTGGGCTTCTGCAAGTAGGTATGAGCAAACCTCAGAAATCAGGAGTTACGCCTCAAAAAGATGCCGTTATTAATTGTCCTTCACGAAGCTGCCCGGGTAGAAGTTGAGATGTCAGCGCGCGCTAAATTGATTTCCCTGGGACGGCGATGATAAGGCCGCAGCGATGCCTCCGCGTTTCTTTGGGGCACACCAACGTGCCTCCCTATTCATCTTCTCTTCCAGCAGCTAACACACACATCACGGAGACGCAGATTTATTAGGAAGCCGCCTTTAATTCCTAAGGGATGTGAAAAGCCGTGAGCTGGTCCCGCAGCGGGGAACCCCTTTCAAACCTCCGATGGACATTTTCAATCCCCCGTGCAAGAATAGATGCCTTTCTTTATTCTCGACTTCCAAGCTGCTTTAACAGCATCTTGAGGAGGCAAAATAATAACTCACAAAGTCTCCACATGTGGTATGAAAAGATTAGACATGGCTTAAGCAGGCAGGGATTTAAATCCGGGCCGATAATACTGTAGTGAAATTATAGGCCATAAAGGCAAGGAAAAAGGGGTTGCAGTTTACAACAAAAAAAAAAGGAAAAAGGGGAAAAAAAAAGGTTTAATCTGGGGACAAAAACCTTCATATAAATCCAGCACGTATATTGTGGATGATTATTTCAAAAAGCTGGGACTTGTTCTGTTGATCTTTTAAACTGATTACCGAGCAAATGTATGCACTTTTAGAAACAGGCACTGACAGACATGAATTTCAGATGTCCTTTTTCATCAGCTTTTTTCTTCTTTAACAATGCCGGATTGCATAATACTTCGGATATTTTCAAATAATGTGGAAATTCAATTCCGGGGCAGCCATGTAATTTATTGTACAATAGTTACAGCGTGTTCGAAAAGACAGCCACACCGAGGCTGACTGCCTCCCAGGACCAGAGAGAGTTGTTTCAAAAATGATAAGATAATTTGGTCGCCGGTGAAAAGCGAAGGGAAAAATGGAAAGCAATATTTCCTCCACGCTCTAACTTGACACTTTAGAGGAATCTTGAAGTTATTAAATAGGAAAAGATATTCCATATGTCTAAGCTTGGTGTTAAACAGAGCGGGTAACTCCGGGCTGTGGCAGCATCAGTCAGTAACAGCAGGGGGAAGCGGTGCCTGCTTTTCACCTGGGCTTTGCAAAGAGCAAGATTTCCCCAGTGAAATCTTATTTTCCTTCTGTAAATATACGTATGCGCAATGCAAACATTTACAGGATCGTGTGTGCGTGCGTTTGCACGTGTTTTAACAGAGAGAAATTGCTGATAGTTAAACGATGCTGATGCATATTTGCTTAAAATTTGCTTATTACTTTCTAAAAACTCAGATTCCTAAACTGACTTTCAAGCGTTATTTGCCTAAAAAGGGCTGAAATACAACCCTGGTTATGTCTGCACACAGCAATTGCGTAATTGGAAAGAAATGCAATAAACAGCAAAGCAGTCTCAGAGCAGGAGCTGAAGTGGTTCCTGCACCCATCTCTGTTTGAATGGGAGATGCTCTGGTCCCCAGATGCTAAGAACCGGTTATCAACACCATTTTTATGAATAACTCCTCTAAACAACGAATTTTGCTGTGGAGGGGCTAAAGTCACATTGCTTTCTCTGCAACAGCCCTTCTTGGACCTTCCAAGGGAGAAAAACTGCCGTAGGATAAACTCAATAAATTCCTCTTCTTTCTGGAGACCAGGAAATATTTACAGATGAGACATGCAGAATGTGAAAAGGCAGAACTGAAAGTTTCCAAATACTCCAAAAATTAATAAAACATGCTTAGAGGTGAATGTTAACTAATGGAAAATACTCGTTTTTAACTATAAATACCAAAGCCTACGTTTCAGCATCTTTTACGCCGTGACGTGACAGACGATGGGACATGTAAGCACCAAAGCTGTGACTCCAAACTGTGACAGAAGATGGGACGTGTGACACCGAGGCAGAATTGTGGCCCCGACCCCGACCCCACTCACACTCGGGCTGCGTGGCCACCTTGACGGGCTGCGAGCTCTCGCCAGGGTCCCCACTCGTTGAAGGCCACCACGCGGAAGGTGTAGGTCTCCTCCGGTCGCAGGTTGCCCACGGTGAGCTGGAGAGTCCCGGACTGCGACGTGTTGACCGCCCGTTCCCTGCAACGACAACAAAAACAACTTGAAAATGCATTTTGGGTACTTCTTTCTGCAGCCGGTAGCTTGCAAGGTGTGATTACTTAGCAAATTTCGGTTCAGAGCTTGTTCGTCTGTAAGGTTTCTTTTTGATTTCTGCTTTCAAAAACCTAATTCGAGTAATGGTGCCTACTGGGAATGTGGCAAGCGCTACAAAAGGCTTGTATTTTAGCACTTCAGAAGTCATATAGCACGTTGGTCCTTTGCCTTTTTTAATGAAACAGCAAAGTAATATTGATGGAAAAACAATCTGCAAAGGGAAGCGGGTAAAAATGTGGCTGATTTCCTAAGGATGGCGTTCCTGAATACTTCTCTGTGACAGTGGCATCTGTGGTATATGAAATTCTGGAAAATTGTATGGTTTATAGCATTGATTTGGTAAGTCTTTTACATTACCTTAGTAAAAAATTAAAAATAAGTGCAAAATACAGTGGAATCGGCACCCACATCACCACGGAGCATTCCTGAGCTCAGCCAAACCCGCGTTTTATTTAGGCTGAGGGTGCTAAGCCAGCACCAAACTTTGATCCTGTGCAGTTTGGGATGTAGGTGTGAAGTGTTACGACGAGAAAACTCTGACAAAGCCCGTTTTGTATCTGGATTTGTATCTGAGGAGACCCAGGGCTGCCGTTCCTCTTCTCAGAGCTGCCCTTGGTGCATCACAAACTGGCCTCAGCCCTTCGGAGACATCAAAGCAAGCACTTTGTAATTAGCCTCTGATGACGGATGCATCTCCATGGGCAATCTCAGCAGCTTCAGTGCTCATCTTCTGTTGGTGACGGTCCCAAATCCCACCGGTGACAGGCCACGCCACCCCTAGATAAACACGAGTCCACGTGAAGCTCGGCTGCTCCTGCTGGAAATAGCGTTCAGGCGGGCAGTAGTTGGAGGTCTCCATCGCCCACTCCATCTCACAGCATTCACCCATCGTTTCCAAGGCTAATTAGCTCGAGTCCAATTCTAATTAGCTCAGGTCTGTGCCTAGGTAATCTGATGTGTTCCAGTTTGGGAGCAGCAATGAAAAGAAGAAGCTCAGGGGAGCAGCCTTCAGGTGAAAAATCCCACAAGTTTCCCTGTTCCTAGCCAGCAAGTGCTTTCTCTCCATGCACCTCAGGAGAGCACTGAGCAAATTAAACCTTTACATGTTTTATTTCCCATAATTTCGGTTTTCTAGCTGAAACAAGAGCATTTTCCAAGCACAACAAGAGAAATTGAGAGCCACGCTCATCTGGCTGCTTTCCTACCCCAGATCAGTGCTCTGAGGCTGCCTCGTGTTATTCCCTCAAAATGCAAACATTTTAATTTCCCTTGCTTCATTTCTGTATGTCAAGATCCTGTAACTTCAAACGAATAAGGACTGCAATAAAAAAGTGAATGTTCCCAATCCGCCTGAGTAGGGACCGAAAAAATAACCAAGCAAAAACCCCAGGGCTGAGACCAAGACATTGGGGCAGTGCAGGAATTTCCTAAAAAGCACCAAACGTCCTCGAGCCAGGCACCTTTATACTTCGGGTTCTCTTTTTCAAGTCTTGGCCATAAATTACGGGCTAAAAATAAAAGCCCTTGACTAAAGTCATTCATGTCCTTGTAAAATGGAGGCCTCGACATGTAATTTCCAGTGACTGAGGATCATGTTACATTACAGTATCAGCATGTAAAAAAAGATAATTACAGTCCCCATATATCTCCTAGGTGTGTAACAAATGCTTTTATAATGTTTCAAACACCTAATTAGTTACCTCGAGTAAGACAAGTCATGTTAATGCTCCTCGCTGTGAAATGAATACTATTAATTTTAAAACGGGTGGACTTCCACCACCTTGAGCTCTTTTTTTTTTCATCCCCTACTATCGTTTTCCCAGGAAATAACACAACGTCCTTGATTATAACAAGCAAAACCTCCGAACTAATGTAAACAGTTCATCTGGGACTGATATTTTAGACCTTAAGCTGAATTCTAAAGATAGGCTCTAATCAAATAGAAGTTTTTGCATTCAATTAAGCGGTCCCTTGATTCATTTCTTCGCTCTGCGCCGTGTAGGCAGCGAGTTGGGGAGCTCCGTTGGCTGCTCGTGCCTACCTGTGCATTCATTAATTTGGTGTTGAAAACAAATTGTAGTGAACGTTCAACTGGAAACGAAGCAGCTCCCAATCTTGCAAGAGCCCTTCATTCGAAGGAATTCGTGTTATGTTGGAATACCGTTGATTTCCTCCTCCTTTTCTGTTAGGATCAAGGCATCCCAGTTCTGTATTTTCCTCCTCCTTTTCTGCTAGGATCAAGGCATCCCAGTTCATTCATTTTATTTATTCAGTTATGCTTGCAAACATTCGGTTAAAGAAGGATGGCTACAAATCAGAACCCATTATTTAAACCAATTCGCCATTTCCAAGGTTGCAATAAAACACTGAACACTATTTTGGGGCTTTGTGTCTCCTCTAAAATGTCAAACAGGAATATATTATTGTATAAATATATTATTGTATAAATATTTCTCTCTTATCAATCATTTTTTAATTTAAAGCTTTAATTTTTAATTTTAAATATAGCACGTAAATTCTCACTGAGGTGGCAGAATTCATTCAATACTCCGGACAGGCAATTAAATATGGCTTTGAGATTACATGCGAGGGGTTATTTTTTGTTCTAGTGGCTACAAGATCACAAATAAACAATGCCTCTTTCCTTGTGATGACTAACACACACAAATATCAAATGCCCGTGTGAATCAATGCTCACTCGGTACAGAAGCAAAGCACGAAGACGGATGAGAAGAGCGAACAAACAAACAATCAGGCTGAGAGTGAATCCGAACAACAAAAAGAGACCAAAATTCAAAACGAAATATTGGATCAGGCCAATTTTGCAAATGTTCTCAAGGAAAAGTTGCAGCTCCGAAGTCGTTTTGTAATTAACTGGTGGCCACATCCAGATGCAAACGCTGTCGGTTTTGAGGAAGTTTATAGATGAATATATTTAATATATAATTATATATATAATTTCGGTGTTTTCCACCTGAAGATGACCTCTAGCAACAAAAAACGTAATTTGAAGTTCAGTATGGGTGGATGAGATGAGGGCAGCACCACTCCCAAGAGCTCACCGTCTGGGCAGTGCAATGGGAAACACAGCAAGAAGGCAGAGATTTACCTCTTCCATTGCAGAACTTGACAAGTATTTTTAATCTTTCAATCGACCTTATTACTTGGGTATGAAAGAGTTTGTTTTCGGGGAGCTTATAATGTCAAGTGAAAGGTAAAAGAGCTCCTTTCTCTCCCAAAACTGCTCTCCATCAGGGCAGGATGGATTTTTATGCTACGTCTATGCGTGTACCTTGCAGAGCTGTATCCATTGAAATTCATGCATTATATTCTAATACCATATTTAAACAGAAAAGAAGAACAATAAAACGTGTGCTTCGGTTATGTATCTGCTAACAGATCCTATACATGGAAAAATATTTGTTCCTTTTTTGTCAGTAGTCTGCTATTACCAGCAAGTGGCACGGAGTATATCACTTTTTAATCTGAACTTTTTCTCAACCCAGCAACTTTCCTGAGTGCAGAGGTATTGGTTGGCTGTTTATTTCCTAATAGATTTCAGGTTTGTTTTATCCTTTCCTCAGAACCCTGCCTTTTACCTTTAAGTGCTCTTTCCAGTCATCCTTATCTGCAAGAAAAACCATTTGATCCCCCGCCGGATGCCTGGCAGAGCACGAAGATTAAAGAGCATCCCGTCAGAAGGGCCCTGGTGATTACAGCACAGCAATAAGCACAACCGCTTCCAAAAGTGGCTTCTTTCAAAGGGCTGAGCCAAAGAGCCCTTACGGTGGAGTTCAAAACACAGGGGACAACTTCTCTGGATTGTCCCCAAAGCCACCGTGTGTGCTGGTGCTGCCTCCTGCCAGGCAAATCGTCACGGGGTGAGCTCCTTATTCCAGACTCGCAGTAATTTCTCTGACAATTCCTTTGCATCCCTGAGGTTAATGTCAAACCCATTTGTATTTTATCTTTAAAAAAAAAAAAAAGAATAATAGCTCTTTTGGAAAAATAACATGTAAACAAAGAAGTCAAAGAGCTCAAAAATTCCACGGAAGCTTTCGAAGAAAAAAGACACTCGCTGGTACTTCGAGCAGCACCACAAATTCTGGAAGAAAATGACTTTTAACGCAAGGGAATCCGGGGGGGGGCTCCTTTTACATCTTCAGTAATTCCAAACACACCAACGAGTCCCAAAGGTTTTTAAAAAAGTAAAGAAATGGGAATCCCCTTGCACGGCACACGTCCTATCCCACTGCGACCAGCACTGATGGGTATAGAGAAATATTAGGACCCAGTTGTACAAAATAATTGATTCTGCCGCGTGAATCCTCGTTTTGTACCCAAACTGGGAGGGACACGGGGACAGCTGAGCATCCTCAGCTTTACACACACACAAGTACCAGTCGCCAGCAGTGAAATAAAGGACGGGATACTCGAAGCGAGTTCTTCGTAGTGATTGCACAGGAAGGGAAAAGCACGGGGTTCTTCTCAGGCATCAAATAATTTTTGTACGGAAAATAAAACCCAAGTAACTACGCAGTACCTGTTCGAGTGTGACATGAGCATATATCATGAGGAATCAGGAAAAAGAGCAAATAATCTCTAGTGCCGTTATAACAAAAGAGCTATCTGCTGGGCAGCAATCAGCCGTGGCCGGAACAGCCCAGGCTGGCCTGCTGCACTCGCAATCATGTTAAAATCTTCATTGTCCTCTCCCCAACTGTTTCTGAGACCTTGCAGTGCTCTAAAAGCATCCTCCTCTCGAGTTGATTAGGGCTCAACAAATTCGCCTCCGCTGGGGATGCAAACAACACTTGAGCCCGTGGCTTCGGGGGAAGATGAAAGGTAAAACATGGAGCTAACAATGCTTTATTTTAGATGGCCGAGTAATAGCCGGAGGGGTAGGATCCATGGACATCGCTGTCATCCAAAACAGTCCCTCGTAGCAAGACGACAAGTCGTGTTATATAACCGTTGACGTGTCGTCTACAAAAATAGACCGCAACAAAAGGCACCGCTGGCCTCAAAACATTGGGTTCGATTTGTTTCGTTTCCACACGCGGACAGAGGGAAGAACACAAGGTTAAGAATCTTTTGCAAGACGATGGTTGACCGTCCTCAACGAGGGACAGTCCCCTGGGCTGCAAGAGGACACCTACCTGTTGATGCCTTCCCTGGAGAAGAAGACCGTGTACGCCTGGATGCTGCCTCGGGCTTCGGCGGGCGGGCGCCAGCTGAGACGGACAAATCGGCTGGAGACCAAGACAGGGACCACATCTCGGGGGGCAGAGGGGAGGACACTGGAGCTTAGGACAGCTGGAGGGGAAGGAGAGGACACAGTCAGAGAGGCCGGTGGCACGGAGGTGGCGGGGCTGGCAGGAGGTGCCGTGGAGGGCACGGCTGAGGTGTCACGAAACAAAGGGCCAAGGTGGCACGGAATAAGTGTGAATAAATGAGAAGGGATGAAAGAAAGAGGGGAAAAAAAAAAAAAAACTAACAGTAAAATCACACCTTAAGACACGGCATCCTCAACCAAACAGCAACATGGAAAACTCAAGTCAGCTACTTCCTCAGGATACTTGAAAATTATTTCTTGTCCGTGTGATCACAGCGTCTGATATATTCATTGCTTCGCTCCTATTTCAGTGCTCTTGTCTTGTACGCCCCGAGCAGCACAAGTATTTAACCTCATAAACATGCAGTAACTGGCCGCTCAAAGCCTCAAGCCTCCAAACCTTTGGTCTGGGAAAAGCAGAAACTAAGTGGGGTGTTTCAGCACCCGATTCATTAGGTAATCACATCAAAGTGGGATAAAGCAAGAAGGAAAGAAATATTGAGACTTTTTTTTTACATAGAAAAGAGTTCTGTCTACAAGCAAAATCCAGAAATGAATAAACTGCAGGCTCAAGCAGTAGAATTCATTTTTAGAAGAGCACCTTTCAGAGCATTTAAGGGTTTGGTTGTTGCCCACCGAGTCCACATGAAAGCCGGCCAACCAAATTTTCATCATTGGTATCAAAGCAAAAGCATTTTTTTTTTCCATTATTACAAGCCTATTTTGGACCAACACCCATGCAGATACTGTAAACTCTATTAGTAGCATTAATCTACTGTGAGATCATTAACGGTGGTTTATTACCTAACCAGCTCATGAAGAATAGCTTTCTGTGAAAAGCACGACGCTCACTAAATACCGGCGCAGAGTTTCCTTATACTGTCCCTAAATTGTTTTTTTAAGAGCAATTAATACCGTTATTATTAATAACAAATATTATTACCCCTTACTTATGGAGATCAATCCCAAACCGGAGGGAATTAAGAAATTTCCCAGGGGCATTTCCAGAGTAATGAGGTGTTGAAAGAAAGTATTAAGCCCTAGCCTCAGCTCTTTTGGCTGCGAAGTTGCGATCCATTATTTGCACGGAGATTGTGTTTAGTGTCCTTAGTCATGGGCCACTGCTCTAAATAATGTGCAAACACAAGACTAAAGTATAATCTGTGTACATTTATAGGAGGAAGAGACACAACTACTTCGCTGCACGGTCAGAGCGAGGAGATTTGGGCTTCTGGTCTGTTCCGTATGTTGACTCGTGTATTGGAAGCGCATTGGCTTCTAATGAGCTGTGTTGGGTAAACATCTCTAGAGAAGTATCAAGGGCAAGATCTGGGGAAAAAAAAAAAAAAAAAAAAAAAAAAAAAAGACACAGAGAAACCTGCAAGGCTTTTTCGGTGGAATTTTTGTGCTTAGATTCAGAAAACTGCCCTGTTATTAACAATTTTGGCATCTAAGACCTTGTAGAAACCCTCAAGTTCCCCTACAAACCACCCCAGTATGCAATTCCTCCATCGAGGAACCATCCTCGTGGCAAAGCACGGCAGTCTTTCATCAAAGTCTCTTCCACCAAAGGTGGTTTGGTGTTCAGAAACTTGAGCTACAATAACCCAAAGTCTTGGCATTTCGGTGACTCTACACGTGATGGGTGTCTAAGCTCCCCCCATAGAAAACGGGGAGATGATGGAGCCTAAAAAGCTACTCAAGCTATGAAAAGGCATCTACCTTTAAAACTTCGTAATAAGTATCTTAAATCTGGAGGTGAATCCATACCCACCTCATGCACACGGATGCTGTGGTGGCCGACCTGCCAGGTGCCCGTTTAAATAATAGGAAAAAAATGAGGGGAAAAGCAGCAAGATTTGGACTATATTTCTAGCCCACCAAGTACTTCTTTTACTTTGGCTTTCAGTAAACTCTGTAGAGCTATCACTGACAAAAGCAATTTCCCTTTTATCGTTGCTAGCAGTGAATAGTAAACATATATTGTACAATATAGGAAGACATATAACCCGGAATTATCTCAGCAAGCAATATCTGAAATCCTTCACTCTTTCATGTGACTACACAAGATCAATCCACCACTGCTTAAACCATCTACATCCAAGCTTGACAGGGGCTGATTTTAGCCTGATGTGGTTTGAATTAACTCCTTATGAGGTACATCCCTCTCTGCTCTCGTGGCGGTGTGAACAATCACCTACCTCTGTACAAAGCGAGCATGAAATCAGACTGCTCCCATTCATTTTCCACAGGTGCAAATGACTCAAGAACCTACAGAGAAGGCCTGAATATAGCCCAATAGGCTCTGATTTCTGTGTTTCCTTTACGAAGCCACATGAAGCATCTCAAATTATGAACCAAATCTCCCACTATTTTTAATCCAGAATCGGCTGTGAATATTGTGACCTTATTATTACTTTGCCAGTAGGATGCATGCTTGCACTGGGTCCTACTGGTAGCATCTTGAAAAAGCAAACATTTTTAGAGACTGTAGAAATGGAGGTTCTTGCTTACAGCCTTTAGTGTTGAAAATAGATCAATTATAAAATATGTTTTCACAGTTTTTGGTATTAAATAGACGTGGACACGTCTGCATACAGGTAGGGAGAAGTCCTGGCAGCAGCATCCTTCTCCCCTTAAAATGGTGTCTTTAGAGACCAGCAAAAGCTTTTGGGGGATACACAAGAAGAGACGATGAATGAATGGCAAAAAGCTTTGAAATCATATCCCACAATGGATTTGGTATCAAAAAGATGTAACGTCATTACTGCCAAGCAAAGGTGGGAATGGGTGATGTGAGTTTATTCACGAGCTTCTCCTGGTAAGAGACATGGGTGCAAATCCTATAAATCCAAGAATAAATGAATGAATAATGAATGAATGAATAAATAATAAATGATTTCACTGCAGTGCTTCTGGGACCTTTATGTAGTGCTACATCCCAGACCTCAGCCTAGTTTTTATATCTCTGTACCAAAAAGACTTGTTTGCCTCTCTTGCAAAACTACCAACTTGAAAGAAAAAAAGAGAAAAACAATTGTTTAAGAAGAAAAATAAGTTGAAAAGTGTTGGTCTTGTTTTTCAGCTGCCAATTATGACTTTGATCTAAAAATTATCCTGGTAATCTGCACCGAGGACCAAGTCCTGAACTACTTAAGGTGAATTTGACTTTTCTGCTCTTAAAGCAATTAAAATTTGCATGCTTTTAATTACTCATGTTTAATTCACATACAAAATCGGAGCCTGTTACACATATGCCATATTGCCACACCCATATATAATCATTTTTCAGGTCATAAATTAATACACAGATTGATAAGCAAGCTGAGCTATGTATAGGATCTGCCTATACCTCCCAGCAAGTGGTTAATTCTCATGACGCTATCCATTTAGCAATTTTTTTTAATTGCAACCTTAGCTAAGCCAAGACTTTTGCAGTCACTTGCCACTGATTTAACACTTGCGGTATGCTAAAATAAGAACACGCACTATAGGCTATCCATACTTTTAAAACGCTGTCAATTAGAGCTTGTTGGTAAGATTTGAAACTCGATATTTTTTCAAGAAAAGCGAGAAACCTACCGCACTTACAACCTTCAACTTCCTGCTGCAAATCACACTTTCCTTAAACAGGCCACGTACCCTGGTGCCAAAATACGACATTTCAAGACATCCAATGGAAGTGTTCAGCCAAAGAGGCTACATCAAAATATCTGTCATGCTTCCTAACAGCTTTTTCAATTCATCGGTTTGCTATTTTCAATATAGATATGAAGGGTTTATATACATATATTTATTTCCATTTAAAAAGACAACATTTTTGCTGAATGCATTTAAGCGTAAACGGAGCGTTCGTGTTTTATGTTAAGCACTTCATTTCAGGGCAACAAAATGTCTTATTCATGCAAAAATATAAACTTTTGGACTAATTCAAGTCTCCTCCCAACAGCTTCCTTGTGTTTAGCACTTTCAGTCGGTTATTCATACAGCATGAATTGCAAGTGTAAGAACATCAAACTCTTTTCATCCTCAGTACTAAACGGAAAAGTTATTTACGGGGAATTTTAATGCCACAAATAACATCGAACCTGTCCTTGTGGTCTAGTGGTGCTCATTACAGCCCAACCAATATAATCTTTTGTGGCACTCTTGCACTGAGGGAATTTATTATTTTTTTTCCAGCACCCCTCTGACCCATCTTTCACGGTTTTCTCTACGGAAGGTGTAAGTTATGTCTGAGAAAAACCTCCCTGCAGGAGTATCTGTAACCACAGAGATGCTGTGGATGTAACACCTAGGAACGGAAAAAGTGAGGCGTTCTTCCACTGAAATTGGCTTACATAAGAAGATCTGTAATAGATACCAATTTGGGGAGAGTCATCATCTTTTAGAACACAGACACTTTGGATAGAATTGTTCCCATTTCACTTTACGGAATATGCCCGTTTATTTTAATGGGGCCGCGCCATTAAATCGCGTCACTGCAGGGGAAGTTTAGGGACTGACGACAATTTCTGGACAAAGCCTCTGAGGCGGTTCCTGAGCCACGGCTGGGATTAAAACCAGTTCTTAATTTCTCTTCTTCCTCCAAAAAAAAAATAATCAATCAATATTCATTTACATCAAGGAAAGAAATAGAACGACTCTAAACAAAAACAGCAATCATGGCTGTAGAGCATGAGTTGCCTAATTTTCCTTTGAACCAGTCACCAAACAGGAATTTGTATTAAATTGGTAACACATCACTAATTGTTTCTAATTAAACAGGCTGCACCCAGAGCTGCAGATGAGAGGAGATAGAGTTTTGCACCGTTTTATCCCAGGGAGATTTATCTGGATGAACTCAACCTCAACGCAACCCCCGGTGGGTTAGGACAGCAACCAGGGTCTGAGAGGGGAAGGCAAGGAAAAATTGCCATTTCATATGGATTGTCACATCTAAATCCCATCTAAATCTCTTCTATCGGGAAGATGTTCCCTG